AATAACACAAGAAGCTTTTATTTGGTGGGAATAAAATGGCACTGACAGGTCAGAATTACAGTGTTGTTCCTATGAAGGCTGTAGACAGGCAGACCACATAAAAGTGCAAAACTCAAGAGAAACTATCTGACTTCTTGTGTCATTCTCAAAAATGAATTACTGACTTAACGAAAAGTATAACTGACATGAGATGAGAGTCCAATATCTTCATTTTCCATTAAATATCAAGTACATCCTCTTTCCTAACTATTGACGCCCAATCAGAACACATTGCATTGTCTCTAAGCTATAATATCAAACAATTTTAATGTCATGTTTTCATAAGTATAAAGCAAGTTGGAGCCAATGATAACGAATGTTTCTGCCTGTAATATCAAACAACAGTGGTCTTTGGTGTAGTCACATCTCCTGAACAAAATTAAACAAAGCAAAACAAAAAAGGCAAAACATTCCGACATCATTTTTCAAACTCCAACTATGAGAAAAAGTACCAAGTGAAACCTTATGTGCCACATCCAGTTCCGCTGCTTCCTGCTGCTTTTGTCGCCCGGGTCAGAGAAGGGCGTTCCCTCCGCTGACATCTGCAACAACATCAGGCGACACCCGGCTCCGAGAGAGCTTTCAGGCGAAGTCTTCACCAACTGCAGAAGCCCAGCTGGAGGGAGTGACAGCGGCTGGTCCGGCCCAGGGGACGCAGCAGCAGGAAGCCTCACTCTGACCGCAACTGAGAGCAAAAATACTGCATGCTGTGTTGTGATGATCTAAGGTTTACCTTGCACTCTAGACTGACTTTTTTCATCACATTGATAGGCAGCTACAAGCAGAAAGAGCAGGTCTAAGTGTGTTTATGTTTTTGTTACTGCTCAGTGTGCAAGGCATTCGTAGTGGATCATTTACAAGTAGCAATCCAAATACAAAAACAGTTTATAAAACCTCAGTTTGACCAGGAGGCAGTTTTAAATAAATAGTAACAAAGAGGATAGAAGGCAAAAATGTTTTCCAGCTGCCAACACAGATGAGAAGGCTTCTCTACATAATTGTTGGTGGGTTTTCCTTATCATACATCATTACCAAGAGGCATGATTATGACTTCCTGAGGCTGAGGGACTCAGGCTCTATCACACACACATTACTGTGCCATGTATTCCTTAGCTTTCTCCAGCCCGTCTTTAAGGAAGCTAATGTAAATAGATGTGGAGGGGTCCTCAAATCCACTAGAAAAGCTGAAAGTTGCTTCCTCCTCCTCAGGCTTGATAGCTGTTTGGTCTAGAAAGTAGTTAGCATTGATGTGGTGAACCTAAAAAAGAGACGAGAGAGCCTTTACAGCCAATTCCTTCCTTAAAATAGTGATAATGCATTCTCGTTTATAAAGCACTTTGAAGAAATAGGAATCATTTTCAATAGAAAAATATATCTGAGAGGATAATCTACAGCAAGTGTTAGAAAATGTAGGACAAGAATCCTTGGGATTTTCATGGTAACAAAAATCTTGTCTGCGCTTTACAGCAGTTTGCGTTGATAACTTAATTAGGAAAATATTTACAATGGTTCCGTTGGGAAGAGCCAGCATCATTTCCACTGGGAAATTGTACTTTTCCAGGTGTAAGCGAGCCTTTTCACTCAGTGCGGGGTTCCACTCCTCAGCCAGGTGAATAAAAGAAAAACACAGGAAACTCATGTTAATGCACACATAAGGTAAACTGTCTGTTTCCCACTATACTAGTGTGTATTTGAGTTTTTTCCAGCTTTTAAATGCTCACCTGCATGTTCTCCAGCTCTTTGACGAGAGACCATGTGCTGATGAAGCTCTGGTTGAGCAGAGCCAGGACGGGCGAACTTTC